CATTATTCTCACCACAGCCTAATTCCTTGATTCCAGCTGCGAGATTCCGGTTTAGTTTATGTTAAACCCCTGGGTGCCACAGGGACATATACGTCCTTCCTCCTTAGCTCTCACTTTGAAGTCCAATACAATTCTAAATATATCACGCCCATCGACCAAGCTCTCAGACCCCACGTCATACCACATTTCGAGCATGATAACGCCCGGGCCCCTACTACCAGAGTTACACGGGACTTCCTACAGCAGAACGGTGTCATTGTTATGCAGTGGCCAGCCCTTACTCCTGATGTAAACCCAGTTGAACATCTTTGGGATGAAATTCAGAGGAGACTGAATAATGTCATACCAAGTCCGAACACAGCCGATTTATTGCGCCAGGCCTTTCTCAGAGTGTAGTTCCAGGTGGCAATGGCCTTCATCAATCGATTGGTGCACACCATGCATAGACGCTGTGCTGCAGTTATTGCCGCTCGTGGTGGTCACACTAGATACTGAAGTCAAGGGTCTGAATGGACTGCAAACGTTCACGTAATGTCTTGAAATTGTTCATTGATGTGTCAAGATATTGTACACAAAAATGTTTTTGATCCGCTTAAAATGTCCATTTCTGTAATGATTTGATTACAATGCCTATCTAATTTTGAATTCGTACTGACGTTTTTTTGCTGCTGAGTATATATTGATTGGCCAGGTGCGCGACTGTCAGAAACGTTTCATGATTCACTATCATTGTTTTCAATAATATTTGTAATCAATTTATATTCGATTGAAATATATTGTGACAACATGATATCAAACAAATATAAACTATTCAAAAAAGAAACGCATAACCCAGGAATCTGTTGAGAAAATGTTGTATTTTCAAAGATGTGTAACCCGTCCACAGATCGACTTTAGGGAATGGGATTTTGCATCAGTTTAGAAGAAGGCAGTATCTAAGCAACCAGGTGGATAATTTTAGATGACGGAGACGTTGAGATTCTAGCACGACATTGTGTGATACTCGATTCTGATTGGCTGAGAGCTCATCAAAACCGTACTTAAATGGCAGTTTAAGACCGCTAATTAAAGTGACCGATTCACCGCGTATGAATACAACGAACTCGTTGACCCTATTGTTTGTAAACAAACATGTCGGACATCGGCAATTTCTATCTCGGCAGCATCTTTGGTGTTTTTTTAAGTAAAAGCGAATGGTTTGAAGGAGAATTTCTTGAACCTAATCCCAGTGAAGAAACTACGAAGCTGGAAAATCCGTCAGCAGCGCAAAAGCGGCAGTATATATTCAAACCGGGTCCAGATCTACGTGTGTTGACGTCGACAACACACGTCGGCCCACACGTCCTAACCTGACCGCTTCCGTCCCGGCCGTAATGCCCAGTCCTTCCACTTCCACTGTCCATGTATCCCACATAAAACGTGGCATGTCAGGTCTTTTCCAAATTGGGAATAGTAGGGTGGTTATCAACAGTTATTAAATATTTCCGTGAATAAAGTTAGCGGCGACTAAACTTAGCGACTTCACGGCTTGAATTGGGACGAGTCGATTGTCATACAGTAGGGGAGATCAATAATTCGCTTGAGAAAAATCAAATAATTGTACTTGCTCACAGTATAAACTGTATTTTTATATTTATGTATGCTACTTGTTACAAATACAAGCATACTGGTTCCTGAAATAAAGCATTTATGTTGTTGAAAATGTCTCATTTTGTTCATTACACAACCTGTCCCTCAACGGGACGATTCCAAGCGATTTCCAGGAAAAAGGCCCCTTCGCGCCTTGTGTTCTTGCGCGCCAAACAGTTCGGTTTTAAAACGCTTATCAGTCGTGCTAGAATGAAGATAAAGCTACACTGTTTTCAATTTTGCGGTCCTTTATCGTTGATTTAAGACCGCTAAATGTTTAATTTAAAACCTCACTCTAACGCGTTCGGTTTTTAAATTACATTTAGCGTCCTTAATCAACGACAAAGGACCGCAAAATTGAAAACAGAGTAGCTTTATCTTCTAAACACTCACTATTTAAATGGTAAAATCATTCATTGCATTTTTTTCTAAAGTGTGTTAAATTCTGACTTAGAAGCCGAGACCTTCTGTACAATTAATTGGAAATTAGGTGAAATATATACTAATCAGCAGACCAGTGTCGTCTTTTTCCGAAGTCGCAAAATCCATAAAACAAACAATGACGTCAACTAAAATGTTTTATTATTTTCAGTAATTTCATTGCATTTGAAGATACGGCTAGTACCATTTTAATGATGATGCAAAAATAGTCAAAATACATCTACACAAACAGGGGAATATGGGAATCTGAGAACTAACTTACATATCGCACAGGGCCAGCGAAATCGCTATTACGTGCTTTCTTATGTAGTACGTTGTCATCTTTTGTTATATATTGTGAAACTACCACAATGTATCCGCTCACATTTGGGATATTCGAATTGGAATACTTTGGTTCACCGTGAACATAAAATATGAAAATATAGGGTCCACAACAAATTCCCTCCAAGTGAACTTACATTGACGTAGTCTTAAGCATAGCAGAGTTATGCCCCCTTATCTTATATATTACCTCTCTGTCGTCCTTTGACGTAAGAAAATCCATTTTTGACATGTATTGCGAGTCATTTTTAAGATTTAGTGTATAACGTTATGCATAAGCACATAAACCCATTTCATATACACCTATGTCGTTCAGATATCGGGACGTATTTCCTTTGTTCACACTTTCCGTAAAGATGCCAAATTAAAACAAATCGTAACATAGTGCTTTTATCGGTGCACGATAAAAAGCGAAGAAATTTACTGTTTTTCAACGCATAACAAAATTTTGGACAACATTTAGCATTTTCTTTGTCTCAAACCGTCAAGGTAGATGCACTTATATTCATACCGACGGATAGGAAATTTAATATTCTACATTTTTGTGTATTTTTATAGCGCAATTCTCGCACAACGTTCACTTTTCAAACCTTATGAAAATGTGCGCCTGAAAAAGAACCTCGGCATCCAGGGGATTAAACCCGGCAACGCCATAACACATTATCAAAATACTATTCAACACGACAAACATACTGATCTCAGTCGGTTCATCTGCCATCTACATGACTAAAGTCAATGGGTCTACACACCATTCTACAAATTAATGAATTGTAATACACATTACACTGCTGTCATGAAATATACTTGACGAGGATTATTATTTTATAGCCATGCGTTGTGTGTTGTATCGGACCATTTTCATTTCGTAGCTTATGTTTTCTCTTGGTTACGGTTTTAGAACGTCATGCAACATTACGTGAATTTCAAATTTCTGAGTATTGAACGAGGTGATGGTGTTTGTAAATTGATTTTCATTTCCTCGAAACACGGTCACTTTTTCTGCATTTGAAAGACTGAGTCCATTTACATTTGTTTTGAAATTTAAGCTTCTATTTCAGGATCAAATGTCAAGTAACGATGAATTACTTGAACAAGTTTTCAATAATTAATCTTCGAGGGGGTCGTGTGAAGTGCAGCAGTGTCCATCCGTATCTCTGTACGGTATAAGTTACCTACTTACCCGTGAACATCCGGGTTAGAATTGGTCTTCAGTAACCCATGCTTGTCGTGAGGCAACTAACTGGATACCGTGGTCAGGCTCGCTGAGATGGTTGACACGTGACATTGTATCCCACTTACGTAGAACGATGCTGATACATCAACCTTCCTACAATGGGAGAGTTAAAGCACAAGGCTAGAGTCCACTGTGACAGTCTAACTTTCAGTAGCTGTAGTTCTGGACATGTACGGAAACACAGCCTCAAACTTTAACCTCAGAGAATCACCTCTATTCCTCTGTGACAATAATCATTATTGCATTGTTCATTTTTCACTTTGATAGTTTTGTCTGCGTCCTCACTAAATAAATAACCCAGCTTGTCGTAAGAGGCGACAAACGGGATCGGGTGGTCAAGCTCGCTGACTTGGTTGACACATGTATTCGTATCCCAGTTGCAAAGAGTGATGCTCATGCTTTTAATCACTGGATTGTCTGGTTCAGACTCGATTATGTACAGATCGCTACCACATATCTGGAATATTCCCGAGTGTTGCGTAAACTTAACTCACTCACTCATACTTTACCTACCAGTGACATTCCCACACAATATACCGTTATGCACGTTTTACTCCAACATGGAGTTGTTATAGGCAGGGTGATAGATGTGCATATTTAACATTCAGTTTTACACGATGACGACCATCTACTGAGACATTTTCACCTCAGGCATCAAATGACACCAAAGTTGTTGATTAGACTTTACGGGTGTTATATAATATCAAATATGTTTCAAACTCTTTCAAAGTAGATTCAGTCTGACCGCATTTTTAATAATAGTATATATGTTCGTTTAAATTACTGGCTAAAATTGCTAACAGATGAAGGAATTGTGTAAATCACTAGAGTACATGCAGGTAGAAAGAGCACTGTAAGTCCCAATGGTCCCTAGTATGGTGATATACCTTCAGTTGGTGGCAACCTACAGCCCATTTTTATATTGTATTGCGGCAGATAGAAATAGTGGTTATATGCTAGTTTTAAGTGTAAATCTGTCTTAAACTAGTTATTTTACTGTCCTTTGCAGACATGTAAGTATATTAAGTAAGTTTGGTTTTATTCATTTATAAATTTACAATTTTCATACGTAAGATTTGGCTAAAATAACTCACTCACTCAATGGAATGTGAAGGCAAGGGAACTACCATTCCCGAATATCCACCGGTTGTCATTTCACCCTAGTCAAAAATACAAACAGCGGTGAAGATGATAGGGGAATTCACTAAACAGGCAAGCATTTCGTTCCCTACCATCAACACCCACCACCTGTTTCCAGAACGTTTAGAACAGGATTAAACATAGGGCATGTTATAAGCGATACTTAACAACAACACAGCCTTGTACAATACAACGTCCACCGATAACCTTATCAGCAGATACTGTAACGATCCTTTAGGTGATGACATGTAACCTATCTGCTGACATATACACGTGTGTACAGCTGTAGGCGGCGGTATATCAGTAACGTCCCAGGCACAACATGGAACGCGGAGCTATTTTCACAATAATCGGGGGTTTTCTAATCCACCTAACCCTGGGAACGTATTTCTGTTTTGGTAAGCATGAACTTATGTTGTATCCGGCTCATGAAGGCTGATTGATTAGATTGTGTGATAACAATGACCCATTCATTGAACTCCACGATTTAGATAGACTGTTGGATCACATCGAGTGATTAGAATTTATTTACATATTTACGAAAGCGTCTTGCAGATGTTGTGTCCGTGGCGGAGAATATTCATATAGAATAGGCATCTGTGCATGATTGTACCTATTAGTGGATAGTGGATAGGCCTACTTGTTATGGGACCACCTCTGTGGTGAAGTGGTTAGAGCGTCTTCCCGGAGAGCGGAAGGTCGCGGGTTCGATCCCCGACCGCGTCATACCAAAAGTCGTTAATATGGTACTTGTTGGTCCCTGCCCGGCGCTCGGCATTAATGGGTACTAGGACTGGTCGGCTCGGAGTCAGTATAATGTGTCTGAGTGGGGTATTGATGCTTCACTGCGGCATGTTATCTCAGTGGGCTACCACTATAAAACCAACTTAAGTCTGGGCTAGTACAAGCAGCCGCACATACACATACACACGCATGCACGTCGTGATATGAGCGAAATATTCTCAACCACGACGTTAAACCCAATTTCATCTCACCTCACCTCACCTCACCCCACCTACTTGTTATAAGGCAATCTAGTGTTGTATTTGTTTTACAGTGTCTCTGTTGAGATCTAGCTGAGGACGAGGCGGCGGGGTAGCCTAATGGTTAAAGCATTCGCCCGTCACGACCCGGGTTCGATTCCCAACAAGGGTACAATGTGTGAAACCCATATCTGGTATACCCCGCTGTGATGTTGCCTGAATATTACCAAAAACGGGAGTAAAACCACACTCACTCACTCTAGCAGAGGGCAGTCGTTGTTGCTGTTAGTATGTTTAGATTTGGAATCAAAACTGGTCTGAAAAAAAACTGGGCTGCTGAGAAAGCACATGTGTATCGATGAAAGAGCACTGGCTACTGCAATGGCTATTTATCAATGGAAGTAAGCGAGAGTTGTGAGGGTACTGGTGAAACAGAACTGGCTCTGCTATGGCGTTTAATTTCTCCTCTGGCGTTTAATAAATGTGTTTCTTTGCGAAAAACTATTCCAAATATCGAACATGAAAACAAGAAAATGATAAAATATTGTAATAGTTCTCGGTTTAATAAATTTTTGTCACCACTCATTTGTTGAGTTATCCCGATATTGTTAGTTATTGTGAATATGCCATACCCATTTCGAGGAAGTTACCTGCATACATATTGCTGTCGAACGGGTTGACAAAATATTCAATTACCATTTAATTGACTGTAACAGGTAATTTGAACCCATACATCACGTCCTACATCCGGGATACTTCAGTCGATCTCCGTTACAAAGACAGTGAGTGGATCTTTGCTGCAGCTGCCTTTGGACTGGCAGGTTCCATCTTTATTGGAGGACTTCTACGAGCTCGGTTTGGGCCCCGCATAGCAGTACTTTGTGGAAGCTGCATGATGAGGTATTTACACAAAATATGTGATGGACTAATACTCTTATCCTTCATCAGTCGTATGTACTAATGGATGAATTAGCCTGTATAATAGCGCCAGTGTACGCCCCTCTTCACCGGGGAGAAAGGATGTACCCAAAAGGAGCTGGGGCTCCTTACACGAAGCAACCTTTACTAAGGTTAACCTTAACTCCCATTCTTTTACATTGCACTAAGGTCACCTTAGTGACTTACGATCACCTTAGTGCTTTGTGAAAGGAGACCCTGGTCTATTTAATGAGGAGAATGGGATTACCAAAATTGCCGATAAAATGAGCGAACTGGCTTAAGTAGACGCCTAGGAAAAAAGGCCTAATGTTTTGTCAACTGTGTATTATGAGGGCAGTACACCACATTTATCAGTATATTCAATAAGTAAATGCCCATTTAATGATGGGTTGTGTCTGAAATAATACAGGTATCACGAGTCATTAGTACATGTCACCAAGGAAGTGGTTCTTGCAACGTATCACACGAAATATTCTCAACCACAACCCTGTTGACTAATTATCATTGACGAAGACCAACCTCCACTTCCCATTTCATAACGGCGCTGCAATTTTGTTATTATCGTAGAAAATCAGTTAGAGTCCGTTTTGCGATTGTGAACCTCGCTTTCTGGACAATAAACATGTTATTATTATACCTTTTCAAATTATAAGTGATCCACCACATTTTAAATAATTATTCTTGATATTCTTCCGTACCATCAAGACTAAGACACCTCTACCGGATGTTCCTTCAAAAAGGTCGACGTTCCCCATTGATCACAATTATTTATGATCACTTGTTCCAGTGTATGAAATAAGCCCAAAACCCAGCCAGACATCAGGATGGGAAACTTCAAAATATTACCAGCCCCAAATGGATTTAGTCAGACCGGACACCAAGAATTCAAATGTATGGTATATCTAAAATTTGCACCAGACCGTCGGGCTGGCTAGCTGTAAATTTAGACCGTCCGTCAAATCTAGCCCGTCTTGGACTGTCCTTATTTCATACACTGCTTGTTTATCCTACTACGTTGCCTTGACTAGAATGTTTATTACCGTCCGTATCGTAGCCTACATGTGTTGTTTATGTGTGTAGCCCCTTTAATGTGCCTGTGTGATATGTAACTAGTGATGCTCTGATGTTAAAAACAAATACAAATCTGAGGTACAATGAAGCTGAGGGCAATAAATTGTTACCGTATCCTATCTTTTAATGCTGCTGAGCATAGTCATAGATGTGGTTTGACCACCTGGTGTCTGGTTCTCCAGTAGTCCATTCACGTTTTACCTCGATATTGCCTTTCCTGGCCCATGGAATATTTAAATCGAAATTTGGTGTTCCCTAGCGTTGACGTTTTATGCCTAAAATTATTTTCTCACAGTTCTGGCGTTGCCCTGACCTACTTTTCGATACAGCATTCCTTCGCTGGGGTCATAATCACCTTCGGTTTGATGTTTGGGCTTGGAGTTGGAACCGCATATGCTGCTCCGATGGATAGTGCGATGATGGTAGGATGTAGTTTCATACAAACATTTCATCCAGTAAATAAACCACAGAGTCCACATAATATGTTAAGGCTGAATGAGGTGCAAATATTCACTCTGGTGGTTACTCAACGACAGAGATCAACCTACCAGAATATGTAAACGTAGCATTTGTGTGAGTTTAAGTTATGACTTTCCTACAATCGCCAGCGGCTGAAGGGATGGTATAAATCCAGCTAGGGTCCATGCAGGTAGCAAAGGTACTGTAAGTCCCAATGGTCCCTAGTAAGGTGATCTACCTTCGGTTGTTGGTGATCTATAGTCCGCTTTTGGTATTATGTTGTATTGTCCTAATTTGAAATCCAGGTTTAGTAATAGATACTAGTGTTTTTGTTTGTCTGTTGTCTGTGATATTCTAGTTGGTTTTACTGTCCTTCGTTGACAGGTTTTTAATGATTAAGATGTATTTATGATGAAGTTAAAAACTTGTTTTAGTCACGATATGGCTGAAATATTGCTGATGTGAACTCAACGACAGAGACCCCAAACGATTGGGTTTCAATGAGCCTATGACGTAATGTATTGTTGGTCGTGCTATCAACCACCAGACTGGCCCAAAACATACACACGTGGTGTAGTTGAATTACCCATGACTGCTCTTCGTATTAACTCGTCTCTCATCACCAATACAGATAACAAAAAAAAACACCAAACAGTTCATATGGATCATAAGAAAGAACATAATTATCAAAATGGCCGCAGTAGTGAAAATCAAGTTTACATAAGTGTTCGAACTCAGACTTTGTTTTTGAACCTAAAAGTATAATGCTGTATCTGATGCTGTCATAATACTGAATCCTAACATACCCACCTGGCAGGCTACTTAATCGCTAACAGTCTAGGTAACGTTGGCAGAGTTCTGATTGCTATATGTTGTTCCAACCTGTAAAATGTCCACGACTTTGAAGTTCAGAGGAATGTAGAGGAAATCAGTTGTGAAATATTTACAGGAAGGGCTGAATATCTGAGACTTTGTATCCCTGATTGAAATATTTAACATCAAATGCACATTTGATTTATTCTACTTCTGATCAATTGTAGGAGATAAGTTTGCTGTTCTTGATAAATAGAAGGTGTTATTCAGTATTAAGTATCTCGCGTGTCATATAACGAGTCAGTGATGATCTTATTCCTTTCACCAATCAGTGGATCCCTGACAAGAAGGGTCTCGCCACCGGATTGATCTTGGCTGGGTTTGGCGGCAGTGCCTTTATCTTCGACTACATCCAGTCATGGTACATCAACCCTGATAATCTTGCACCAAATTCCGGCAAAGTAGACGGCGAGGAGTATGTATACTATTTGTTTACTGAAACACGAATCACAAAAAAAAGAAGCTAAACTTTTAACTAATGCAAGGTGAATGACCCAAACAACAGTCCCATCCTCTAACATTAAGAATAATGCGCAACCATGTGAAATGATAAATGAGACGTGAGTGAGTTTAGTTTTAGTGCGCTTTTAGCAATATTCCACCGATATCACTGCGGGGAACACCTGAAATTGTCGTCACACGTTGTACCCATATGGGTAATCGAACGTGTCTTCAACGTGATGAGCGAACGTTTTAACCACTAGGCTATTCTACCGCCCCTTAATGATAATGGTTGTGGTTGGGACGAGACTGAATGAATTTCTATCTGGTTACAGATACTTCACTCAAAAAGACTTGCTTGGCAGAGTTCCCAACATGTTTCTGATTCTAGCAGCCTGCTATGTTTCTCTTCAGTTCTTGGGAATTGTGTTCCTTCGACTGCCAAAGGTAAAATTGTATATTTGCCTACTTTTCCAGAAGACAATATCAGATCAGACGGTATATGAGTTACATATTTCTGAGAGACTAGTAACAAATTGATTTCGAAATTCTGGTTTCCCTTTCTTCTGGTTGCCTAGGACATCCATTTAGTGCAATTGTCAAGCTCTTTTCTGTTAAACAAATCTGAAGGTAAAACAATTCTTTATACAATGTCATACGCAGTGATTATTCGAACTCACTACACATTCATTGATTTGATCCCATTTTCATCATAAACTGGTTCACGTCAATTCTGATTGGACAATCAAAGGTCTGAAACAATATTAACCACTCGGCAGGTGGCCAACACATTGGTAATTTTGTACATCTCGAGTCTGGTGCTCAGGTTGTCTAAGGATATCAAGGTATAGATTGTCTCCCGTTATCCTGTTCGGCAATCAATGATGGTGATCACTTGCATTCAGGGATAATATATTGATTCAACGGTGATATACTGAATCATAATCCACCTTTTCTTGTAGCCTGAAGATACGAAGGGAGCTAATGAACAGGACTCTAACGGGCAAAGAGATGGCCGACAGTATGAATACATTCTTTGTAATCGTAAGATTCATGTTAAATGTTTGAAACTTGTGTGCTTGTTTCTTCATAACTAAAGTGAATTTCATACAAATAGTGGCTATCGCTTTGACATATGTTGAAACATGTACACTAACAGTTGTTCACTGGTCACGAGGGGGGCATGGGTTGATGTACCCTCGATGTTTGTTTATGTTCCCTGAGCCCGAACGTATTTATCTTACCGAACACCTTATTGTTAATTTTGAATTGTTTGAAGCATTTACAAATCCTGTTGTAACCATCCCTACATTTTGCTGACAAAAAAAGAAGAAACAGATTTAGAGTAATCTCCCTTCCATCGATTTGCATTCGCAAAACATCGATAATTTCCTTACATCCGTACGCAATTCAATGTTATTCGAGATAAAGAATTACTACCACGAAGTACCAAATGAGTTGCCATTGACAGCGGGGTACATTGCAATGTGAGGTAAGATAAAGTATTTTATATCCCAGTGGCCGCTGTGTGTCCAACATTGACGAACTTGATGCAGTTGACAACTATGACCCCCTAATAGAGGATGCGAGAATGACGTAAGTATTTAAAAAACGGTTCTTTTTTCCACTGTCCAATGTTATGTTCATTGTTCATCTTTGAAGGAAACATAAACATGGGTTCTCTAATTTGGTTTTGGTAAAATGTGTCCATTGAACTAGAAAGTTGAATTTCGGAGGCCAAATATTAAAATCAAGAGATACAACTAGGCTTGATGTCAGTAGTTCCACAAACAGTTCCATGTCTGTCAAAGGTGTGGAGATGACTCGATAGCTAGTACTAGGGCCGGTCAAACAGTAGTCGGCCTAACTATATTCTCGATGTCCAATTTTTGAAAAGCTTCCATTTTAGTTTGTAGGAATCATTAGCAAAGCCGTATGAAAAAATTCACATATGTGAGTAATGTGATTAACGAGATATTAGTCATCACAACACATTGGGGTATAGTATTTCTAGAAAAAATGCAGAAAATGAAAAACGATCCGTCATTTAGTACCTCTTGGATAATGGTATGCCCTCAGATAATGTCATATAAAATATGTTAGTATAGTATTGGATGACTTCCCGTCATAATCAAGAATCAAAGCTTTGGATTGCTTGATTCATATTTAGTCGGGGGCTGTTTCTTTTAAGGACGCCCCCATTTTAGTCTTTCAAAAACATTTCGTCCAGATATTCAAGCTGGCCCCGTTTACAATATACCGAGAGTTCACACTTGTGTGACCATTTAGTATTTACTTTGAACCTTTAGCATCATGTGTGAAAAAGTGAAAACATTAGAATAAGTTATGTCCTTATGATTCGTCGTCTGAAAGGGGGTGGGTAGTGTCTCCAAAACAAGCTGTTTCAGTAAACATGAAGGGGAATCACTTTAATAAGCAATTGTACTTTCAAATTGCTTTTTTATGCACTTTAATATAAGTTTGATTCTAGTGGACGTCTACCTATCTCAAACACACAGAATGTTTCTTGCATATTTTGTTACCTGAAGTTTGTGGTGCATTTATTGCCGATTTTGCGCTTTTGGGGTGTACCAAGATAAAATTTCAAACAAAATTGGGATCGTAAGGCTGGAACGTAGCAAAACCAATTTGCTTGAGGTTGACAGATAATATGTAGAAAAATAAAACATAAAACAGCTGCATTTGTATCATTTACCAGGTCAGGCTGACTACTTGTCGACTGTCCCTCGTATCATTAGTCTTTATTGACTGACTTTCTGCCTCGTGAGCCTTTTAACTCTTGCCACCTCGTGGATTTGCGACAATAACCTGAAGTCTGAGTCATGTTAGGCATAGCAACAGTTAGCAGTTGATAACGAGAGATATCGAGCCTTGCTCTGTCGTGGTTATTTGTTTCGAAGACACACATAAAAAACAACAACAAAAACATGCTCTCCGAAAAATAGTGGATCCAGATATGTGAACATATTATGATAGTTCGTCTGAAGTATGATGAGGTTCAACTGGTTGTCAGACATAAAATCTTTAAGAAAGTACAAGACGAGCGTTCCACCGCACTCAAAACACTGAATGTTGACCAGCAAGGTTCGACGAAAAGGTTATCAATACTGATTTTAGTACTTCTTGGAAAGGGATTGTTCTGTGCGGTTGTTGATGTTCGGGCTTAACACATCGTAGAAACGGATGCTTGACCATTAGTGCTTAGTATCCTATTATTGGTCAACTCATCCTAAACGTCATTCTGTTCCACAGACGTTACTTGTCAAACCTTCCTACGAACCTCTGTTCTAGTACGACCCTTTCATGGTGCGAGTGTTCAGGATTCGTGATTGGTTGCAATCAGATTTAGGTGTGCAATCAGATACGTTGTTTCAAAAGTGATCATTCGCAAGGCCTCGGTAATTTCCTTATGCTTTGGGAAAACTAGAACCTCTTCCCCTGCGCAATGCGCTAACGTTTCGTCTAGACAGGACTCAGTCATGTAATGGCGAATCAATGGAGTCTCCATTGACAACGACAAGCTATCCATTAAATGTGTCACATCAACAAAAGTCCCAGGTAGAGGAGCGATATCTGTGGCCCCACATTTGCTTGTATATGTCAAGTTGGGTCTACGTTGGATAGAAAGAAGGAAGATAATTCGTATTGCAATTTTTTGCCGCTAGGTTATTTTACGAGAACCGGGAAATATGGCCATATCAGAAGAGAGGATCGAAGGATACGACAAGCAACCTCTGCGGGAAGAGCATGCCTAAACGTTCACTTTACATGATCTTTATGGTTACTTCCACCCCCACATTGAGAGGGAGTTATCGTTTTAATGTGTTACTTCAATTTTTCATCTAGTCCTTACCATCACATTGTGTTCATGTTTAATACATCGCATATGTTCAAATACTCCGTACTCTTTCATGATGAATATAGATTGTATGTTGGTTACACACTGTAAATTAACATAATATGTTTGTTTGAGCAAGAGTGAAAGTTCATTTCTAGATGGCAGTGTTTGGCACAGATCTCCTACTATTGATACTTTAAACTTCAAAGTTATAAGACTATTAGTACCCAATGCATTGCTGTAGTAGGTACTGATTGGTATGTATAATCTACACGTTCCTAAAACGGTCTATTATAATTAGGAGTTACTCTTTTAATTTAAGACATTTTTGTCATGCTGTCAGTCAAGTGGGTAAACAAGAGTCTGTTCACTGGAGAAACTGCTGGAGAACGAAAGAGTTCTGGATTCTCTGGTGTATCCTACTGTTTAACTGCCAAGGACTAATCTTCTTCTCTACCATCTGGAAGGTGAGCGTGTCTATGCTATATGGTGTACTGAGTGGAAACTTGTGTGCTGGCGATTAGGTGCCTGACTCTGAAGGTGTGGGTTCGAATCCCGGATGGGCCTCAACCCCAAAAGTACTAGAATATGTACTTTACTAAGAAAGTGTAATCCCAAATATAACATAAGTTACATTTGACCACTTTCTAAGATGGCATTGTGTATTTCATAGCTTTCGGCCGTGGGAGCCGTGTCAATTAACACTTATCAGAGAAGTACACAAAGTCCGCAGTCTAGACTACCAGTTGTCCGACTTGCATTTTTGAGGAAGTCGCGGTGGCTGAACGGTCTAGGCGTCTGACTTTGTGTGCTGGCGATTAGGTGCCTGACTCTGAGGGTGTGGGTTCGAATCCCGGATGGGCCTCAACCCCAAAAGTACTAGAATCTGTACTTTAATAAGAAAGTGTAATCACAAATATAACATAAGTTACGTTGTTTTACATTTGTTCTGTGAAATATTGTCGTACCATCTGGATCAATCGTATTACGTTCTGAATCAAACTTTTTATTGTCCAATATTATATGACATATCAATGATTTTCATGACATGAAGTTAGCACATTGCGACAATGATAGACCTTGATAAACTTCAAGTTATATAATTATGTACACGAAATGTCTGGTTATAATTCCAGACATATGGACAAACATTCATCCAAGATGACAGGTTCCTGTCAGTTGTTGGAAGCTTTGCGTCTATCTTCAATGCTGCAGGTCGTATCTCATGGGGCTACTTTGGAGACAAGGTGTCATTTAAGGTACTTCATTAAACACGGGCAATCCGAGACAGATGTAATAGGTTTATTTAGACCAAACTGCCAACTCAAACAATTCAACCTTTTTGAAAACGTCGCATGTATTCTGTCATTCACAAATAACCAAGATTAGAACTGATCTTCAGCAGGAGGCGACTAACTGGATCATGTGGTCAGGCTTGCTGATTTGTTGACACATGTCATCGTGTCCCAATTCCGCCGATCGATGTTCAAACTATTGATATCTGGATCGTCTGGTCCAGACTTTTTATTTTACAAACAGCCACCATATATAGCTGAAATATTGATCAATCAATCAATCAATCAATCAATTAATGAATCAACGAAGCCTCAGAGGTATAATATGAATGGTTCCAGAACGGAACATCAGTTCCTAGTGCATCATGTCACTTTCAATGTTCTTATATAACCCTCAATGGCTTGACACTTCTGCTGTCGAAAAAATGCTTTATTGTGTTACACCTTTCCGTTGAACGTTCAATTCTCAAACCAAATCTTACATTTCTTGTTTAAGTGTATACATTACTAAGTGCGGCCTCAAACCACAAGTAAAACTCCTCTTCCAGACGGCTATGCTGTGCCTGTGTGCGCTATTCACAGTCCTCATGTTCACCTTCACCCTGACCAAGGTTGCCGACGGGAAGCCCCTGTTCTTCATCTACGTCTGCCTCACATTCGGCACCTTCTCCGGCAACTACTCCCTCATCCCCACTGCGACCGCGAGGACGTTTGGCCAGGAGTACTTCATACAGATATATGGGATTTTGTTTTCCTCACAGGTTAGTACTTAACGTTTTATAAAAATGATGTGGTCCTGAATCACACTCTTGCAGATTTTCGTCCGCTACTCTCTGCCACATCATTGAGAAGCGATAAACATCTCAGATAATAAAGAATTACAGTGGTTGCAAACATCAACATTAATTCATCCATTGTGAAATTTCTCTTCACACTATTACAGTCCCATAGACATGATCGAGGGAATTGAAATTGATAATATGTGCCGTTGAGATTGACATCAAATGGTCGTGGGAAAAACAACAGCGCCTTGGGCGTGTACTAGATGCGTGGATATGTAAGCTTTATAGATATCCCGTCATAATGATGCGCCGTAATTTAAACAGATGGTCATTTCTCCAGTCGGGTCTCTGCTGACGTCTTATCTTACAGACCTTATCGGCTGGTATGGGCTCTTCTTTCTAACTGCTGCCTGTTCTTCCTGTAGTAAGTCTTTTACATCACCTTCTATATGTGGTATTGTAGAAGTGGGGAAATATAATATTGACAACATTTATGGATAACAAACTTAATAAGGAAATAAAAGAGGTTCTTATCCATTAAGTTTTTCAATATTTTTTCTATCAAGAGAATGTAATCTAATTCAGGGACCCCATCCGGAATAAAGCAGTTACGATGGGTCGTAACACTACGTTTTGTGGGTAAGGTCCCAGAATCTCGGTAAATCACTATTTTAACTTTTTTAAAGCTTTTATTTCCATTGGTTGTCAGTAATATTTTATTAAACTGGTTAGATCCGGTTTGTTTATTTACACATGGGAATTTGGTTTATTTGTTACATGTGACACGTACACGTGCATAAGGCATGATATCATAAACAGTGATACAATTCCCTCAAGTTGCATTGTAACATACAATCTAGTTTGGATAATATTTTATTGTAGGTTTTATTCTGATGTTTTTCTTCAACAAGAAGATGCCAGATGGAAATGACGTTTGAAACAATGTATAAGGCCGGATGGTGGAAGATGGTGGTGACCCGAATAATGTATGTACAGTGGGTGAGTGTGTTTAGTTTTACGCCGCTTTTAGCAGTATTCCAGCAATATCACGGCCTGGGAAAACAGAAATAATCATGTTAAAAAAAAAACCATATCCAAAACAAGTCCAAGTATGTCCAAAATACTACCATGGTGCCTCGTGAACAATACGACATTAAATACTTCGTTCCAGGTGGATAACCGGGGACACATATTTCAGTGAATATGTGGCTTCTTTGTATGCTAGCTGAAGTGCTACCTACCTGTGTATATCTGTCTTTTCTTCATTTTTCAGTTGTGATATTACATAACGCGTCTCTTGAAACTGTGTCGTGAGAAGACTGCGGGAAGACCGTGAGAATACTTCTACCAAAGGTGTTCTGTGATCGGCGTCAGGCTATATGGCCTCAGACCACAATTATTTTCCTTCTTTGCTATCTACAGTGACATGCCAGTGCACCATAATTAATATCGGTCGTAGGCTGTTCTCCTGTTGCATGCTCACCAACCTGCCACTTGTCACTTAATCGGCAAAATATGAGCCTGGATCGACCATGTCGATTTTGCTGTATCCACTGTAAACAATGGTCACCGGAAGTTACGAGCCGAAACACACCAGACAGCCTTGAACTTGGGGTCAAATCAAGGAAGGCTGGTGTCAATACCATGAGTAGATTGTGGACCAACAAAATTTTGCAATAAAAGTACAATGTCTTACCTTTCATTTAAGCTATCACAAGTCACCCTGAAAAATCAGCACAAGCAGAACAGCCCATTTAAACAAGGCACTATATTCTCATATTTTACTTCCGGGTCATGGTAAAAAGTTAAGGGGTAACTGTGGTCTGGGGCCTATCAGGACACCAAAAGTCTGCAAATTAAATAAAACTTAATCAATACTAAGCCCAGACACTATGTAAGGCTCACAGAAAATTTAGAAAGCCCTAACTCATACACAACTTGACTTATACTGCTTTTACTCCATGCTGTATCTCTGGCATTTTGAGTGTTAATTTTGGGCATGAATTAATTTCAAACACAATTCTAATTTGTCTATAACTCCATAACCAGGTGGAAATTGACAAAAACATCAAGTGTTCCTCTTTTGTTATTGCATGTGCTATCAAAGGACAATGGTTTCAGTCCATTAAAGCATTTTTTTTCATTTTTCTCTATTTTTATATACATACATGCATTTTATACTAAAATAATTCCATTAAAGTTCATATTTTTCAACAAAAATGAAAATTGAAACTGTTAAATTTGTATTCATTAGAAAGCCCTATCTTTCCTCGTTAAATTGATTGGCTGCACAAGTAGCTGAGTACAGCCAATCAAGTGCAGCGAGTCACCAAAGCATGTCCACTCTCACCTGACACCTGGCCAATACGCGACAAAGTGTCAGTAGGTGTGTATGGCTCAACTGCGATTTACACCAGTGGCGCAAGACATGTGTATGTCTTGAGTTTCCAATACATTTTTCTAATACATATACCTGCTTGTCAGTGCCAGTGACAACACACAGAGATGGGATATATAAGTACATGCTGTGCTCAGAGCTCATTAGTTCTATTCGACACAATCACGATGAAAGGCGACCATAAGAGAATCAAGTCACAGTTCAGCAAAGGCCATACTCCCTGGAACAAAGGTCTCACCCTTGAATCGGAAGAGTCGGAAAGTGCCTCTCCACCCCAGATACCCAGGACAGTCACTAGGTTGAGTGCAGAAGACTTCTCCCTGGTCACCAAGTCAAGGCTGGATGGCACTGGGCTGTCAACACCTGACTGCGATGGCATCTCTACTTCAGTGAGGCTGCTGCGTCCCACTTCAACGAGCAAGCATGACCTGAAACAAGAGTCAAGCAAAGATGACTTGGAGGGTATGCGACTAGTCGACAATGAAAAGGTGGCCGAAGCATGGAACACAGCTCTGCGACTGCATCGGTCAACATCCAGTGACTGTGACGACCCTCAGCTGCAGATAGCCAAGGAGAGAAAATGGGGAGCATGCTGGAAAATAACACTGAAATGTGTCACATGTGACTTTAGTAGCACCTGAAATGAAGTTATACAAAGAAATCGAGACGGGTAAACCTGGGCCAAACCCAGCAGCACCCAACGTGGGACTTGCCTTGGGTCTACAGGACACACCTATAGGAAATACGAGGCGAGGTTACTGATGGCCAACATGGACATTCCACCCCATGCAGGAGCAGTATGCAGAGGACCTCCAACAAGGTGGCTAAGGCTGTAACTGAACTTAACACTAAGGATATGGCAGAAAGGTGGAGTTAGTGAAGGAAGTTAATCGAAAGAGGGTACTGAGCCGTGTGAGATGAACATTGCTATGGATGGCCGATACAACTCGACAACAATAGCAAGCAGGAAGAAGCCAGGGCAGAATGCATCACAAGCAATCGGCATCGCCTGCGAAACTGTTACTGACAAAGAAGTTCATCGTCAGTGCGTCATTCCAGAATAAGCTCTGCTGGACTGGTGCCTGGCTGAAAGGAAAAGGCATGGATGTGAAATGTCAGGGGGCACCCAGACTGTACTGCGAACATGTCGGCCTTCCTCCATTCTCTGAGTTCAAAATGGGAGAGGACATTGGTAATCAGCTCGCACTACAGGGTGTACTCATAAAAGTATGCCACAACCGATGGGGATTCGAAGTCTGCAGATGGAGTAGACAAAGCTCTCAAAGTGTTGGACCCAATGTGGAAGGTGCAAAGGCTAGCTGACCCAACCCACTTGGCTCAAGGACAGTTCCGACAATGTTACAGAGCTGATTTTAGCAGATATGTTCCCCGGCACTACTCGTACACATAAAATGGAAGCAAAGAAGGTGCTGAGCCAGGATGTCAAAGCACGGTGCAGCCTGATACTAAAAGAACTCATGAAAGATCATGCAGGTGACATGAAAACACTTCGTAGTATCTTACCAAGAGTGCTCGAAGCAACCCTCAAGTGCTACAGCGGCGACTGCTCCAGGTGTGCCCGGTACTCAGTTGTGTGTAGAGGAGGTGTAACAAACAGCTGGTGGCAGCGATCCATGTTCCTCGGCTGCAACAGTATCACTCATTTCAATATGGATGACAATGATAAACACTTGCTTAATGAAATTCTCAAAATGAAGTTAAGTGTAGAAGTGGTGGAACAAATGAAACTGTACACAGACACACAGAAATGTGAAGCTGCCAATCGATCACTGAGTATTTCTTTGCCAAAGAATGTAAACTTTTCAAGGAACATGATTGGGAGGGCTTCTTCCACAATTCACAGGCTCAACAATGGCCCTGGGACATCAGCAATCGACAAGTGCGACCATTCTGGGGTGAAACTTTCAAGCCGAGCTGTGCGGTCACTTGAACAAATGGACAAGGAGGCTACCTATCACAAAGACTATCAGAAAAGCCCCAGTGTTGTGAAAAGGAAACTTACACAGCATGGAAGCAAGATCTGTGAACATTTGAAGTCTAAACAGACTGACAAGCAGAGTGGGGACTACAGAAAGGGTCAGTTAGACCCTGTACCGTGTTTCAGCAAAAACCATGAACATTCTTATTCAAAATATTGAAAATGTGCAGTGATGCTGCAGAACTGTATGTGCTAATTACTTCCTAAAGACAGATACTGTGTAACTTTAAGTTTAAATACATCATAATGTCTCTAAAGCTATGTGTTGTGAATAAATGCTATGTCACAACTAACTGTGACTGTGGTGAAAATCAGGAAATATGAATAAAATTTTACTATATTATTTGATATAGTATTTTTCATATACTTTGCCTTTGTTTTTCTGTTCTCCTATGACTTCAATGCCAAAAGGCAATCTGGGAAAGGTGCATGGCCTTTACACACACCCCTGTTTACACAGGCCACTCTGTCTGCATTTATGCTGTATGGTTCAGCAGACAGGTGTTCGACATAGGTGCATTTACTGTTGTGGCACAAATGGCTGATGTCGTAATCACCTATGTCGAAGTTTTCCCTGTGTACTATAAAACTCAGCCTGTGAGCATGAGTAGTACGCCACTGGTAGGCTATGGGGCAAAAATACCGCAACACCCCATACCCACTGTGCTTGCATGCTCCAGTCCACATATGACATATGCCATTTTCCACACTGAGGACTGAATTCTTCACAAACTTGGCTCTATATCTTTGGAAAAAAAGGCTTGAATATTAGCCATTTTAGGTATCACATGCATCTATAAGGCACGTGCGGTGTAGTGATACATACATTCACCATAATTGAACCAATATGTCTAAATATGATGCGTCCGCTCACTCACTAAAACAATATGCAATCAGAAAACTGAAATAAATTCATAAAAAATGTAAAAAAAAAATATTTTCAGTTGAAAACACATGTATACATATTTCAAATGCTCCTGGCAGTAAATATGCAAAGTTTCAAGTGAATATTTTGAAAAATAACAGACATATAGCAAATTAAACACTTGCACTACCTTCACCATATCAGGCCTCAGACCACAATTATTTTCCTTCTTTGCTATCTACAGTGACATGCCAGTGCACCATAATTAATATCGGTCGTAGGCTGTTCTCCTGTTGCATGCTCACCAACCTGCCACTTGTCACTTAATCGGCAAAATATGAGCCTGGATCGACCATGTCGATTTTGCTGTATCCACTGTAAACAATGGTCACCGGAAGTTACGAGCCGAAACACACCAGACAGCCTTGAACTTGGGGTCAAATCAAGGAAGGCTGGTGTCAATACCATGAGTAGATTGTGGACCAACAAAATTTTGCAATAAAGTACAATGTCTTACCTTTCATTTAAGCTATCACAAGTCACCCTGAAAAAATCAGCACAAGCAGAACAGCCCATTTAAACAAGGCACTATATTCTCATATTTTACTTCCGGGTCATGGTAAAAGTTAAGGGGGGTAACTGTGGTCTGAGGCCATATGCTTGTGTAAATAGCGGGTACTTCCGGTAGGACCGGACATGCGTATATCCGTTCCGCGAACACATGGTGTTATCACTGACTGTCAGCGATCCATGCATAATGTCTTCACAGCTCTGTTGTCTAAACACCAACTAAACCTGTTTCTGAGGATATTCAGTGCTGGGTATCCTTTGGCACTGACTGTTTGATATTTATGAATAAAATATGTTTACATCAAATCGTTCATTTTAACAAGTCGTTAATGCCTACAGTCTGTCTGGGTCAAAAATGATAGTTTCTTAAGTAACTTTTTTTCATTTCGAGACAAACGTAATGAATCCTTTTCCCAGAGTTGGTCTGATGTTTTCATTACATTCTGCGTTGAAATGAATGTTTGATCATGAACCGATTTGGTATTCGATTGGGATTCATCAATATCATTTTGACCCAAACATATTAATCGACTACACAAATAATTGAT